CTGTTGGGCCAGGAACCGGGCCTGCTGTAGGGCTCTGGGCCGCTAGCTCTTTTTTTTCCACGGCGGCCCATGATAGCTGGCAAGTGGCATCTTCGCGGATACACGGGAAGATCTCTGCCATTGGTCGCCTCCGACGCGTGAGCCGATCCTAGAGCTCGCACTACAGCCAGTTGCCCTTGTCGTGGGACAAAGCCTCGCAGCACTGTGCATTGCTGTCTGGGAGGTACGCGTTCTCTGCCACCATCAGACAGACGAGCAACGCCTTCGGGTCGACGGAGACCCAGTCCGCCGCCGCCGCCTCGCCCTTGGCAAAGACGCCCGTCGTGGACCACGCCGCCGCTACCAGCAGGACAACCAGCATTGCGCCGGTCCCCATCGCCGGCTTCCTCCTCCTGCCAGTGGCTCTGCTTGCGTACGTGTGTGCTGTGGTCTGCTACTTCTTGATCACGCTCGATCATGTCCTTTACGGGAACCACCTAGGGCTATATATATGTACACCATCGAAGTGTTGGCCATGTCCCATGTCCAATATAATTAATTAGCTGGCCATTACCGATCAATAGCAACATGATCAGCACGTCGCAAGGCCATGTGCAGTAAATTAATTGTTCCCACGGGCCGAATCGGTTCAAAGAAATGTAGGCTCTTGGTTCTTTTTTGCTTTTTTTAGGGCTATGCAGGCTCTTGGTGTTCGACTCAAAGCCATACGTCGCCAAAAAAAAAAAGCCTGAGCAGCAAGGCAACGACGGGTCGACACAAAGTCCAATATGGACTGCTCGACGTCCACGTACAAAACCTGCGAAACTTGGCGACGAGCCGACATTTGTTTGATCACATGATCATATTTTGTCAGGGTGAGATCGGTCGGTGCGTAAATGCCAATGTACATTGCGAGGGTGTGTTGCGGTATATAAATCGTTCCCCTTACGTACGAAAACGGTAAGCCTAAACCCTAAAAGAAAAACCGGCCGGTAAGCCTAGGATGGATTCTAAGAAGAGGAAAAGTAAAACCCTAACCTACCCGACCGCACCTTCGTCTTCACGCCGCCGCCGCCGTTCCGTGAACCATGTTGCGTTAGACCAGTGGAGGGACTGGGCGTCTTTGCCCGGCGACGTGCTAGGCATCGTCCTCAGCAAACTCCGGCAGATCGACATCCTCCGCGGCGCGGGGCTCGCGTGCTCGCCCTGGTGGAGGAAAACCAGGGACGAGCCCCTACTGTGGCGGCACATCGACCTACGTCCTCGTCTGTGGGAGGAACGACCCATGGCAAGACGGAAGGCCATGGGGCGCGCCGCGGTGTGGCAGGGACGATGTGTGTGGAACGAACCGATCCCGCCGGCAGGATGGAAGGCCACGGCTGGCGCCGCGGTGGAGCGCAGCGCCGGCCGGTGCGAGACATTCCACGGCCACGTCGACGCCGATGTCCTAGTCTACCTCGCCAACAGGCACGTACTCCCAGGTCCTGACCAACTTTCATCTAGGACGTTGCATCCATTGATCTAGTTATTAATTGACATGCGTGCTATCTCTCCTAATCGATCACCTGCAGGGCGCCATTGCTGAGGAACCTCTATGTCACAGGCTGGCCTTATATCCCTGACGGAAAACTTATCACGGAGATCATCAAGAAGCTTCCTCTGCTGGAGCGCCTCGTGATGCGGGGCGGCTCTTTCCAGGAAGAGCTACTCGTCGCCCTCCTCGACCACTGCCCGCGCCTTGAGCTGCTCGATGTCCGTCATTGTCATCCCATGTTTAGGGTCTACAAAAAGCCTATTAGCACGAGGATACTGAGCTGCACCATCAAAGACCTCCGGCTGCCGTACACGGTCTTGTTCTAGTGCGTTGCATCAACAAACAGCGCTTGGCATGCTCATAGTGTTGGCACTGTATGCTTTTCTAGCATTGACTTATTGAATCCTAATTCAAGTTTTGATCTATCGCTTACTCCCTCCGATCCAAAAGAAAGTGTCACACAGTTCTAAACTAAGGTTAGTTCAACCTTATATAGTTCAAAACTGTGACACCTACCATGGATCGAAGGAGGTACTCCCTCCGTTTCAAAATAAATGACCCAACTTTGTACTAAAGTTAGTACAAAGTTGTGTCATTTATTTTGGAACGGAGGAGTAGTAGTTTAGTACTTGCACTGCAATTCGTGACCGGTTACCAAAACCCTGCTGCCACATATGCTGGGGGGTAACGCACTTTCTTTTAATCTAACCTTCAAATTAAGGACTACTCAGCATATGTGGCAGCAGGGTTTTCACATTAAGGACTACTCTCCATATTTTCACTTGTCATTTTATCAACCAATTTTTCTAGAAAGAAGGCTATAGGACGGAGAAGGGCGTTTTGGTGTCTGGGCTCATCTGCACCCGGTTAGAATTTTTTTGTAAAAAATTCAAAACAAATTCAAAAAATTCCAAGTTTTCTTTGTGCGGTAGTGCGGTAGACAATTTGACGCGTGAGGCCGGCTCCAAATTTCAAGTCATTTCGAGATTTGAGCAGCCCTCAGCAAAAATGATAAATCGGACCAAAACAGTACATGAACAGTAAACATTTTTACAGACCCTCAATTTGTCTTTTTTGCTGAGAGCTCTTTAGAATCCACTTTTATGAATTTAACTTAGCAAATTACAGTTAATTGAAAATACATAAAAAGATAAGCATTCTTAGAAGACATGGTCTCCAGTCCCTACTCTTAATTTTTTTCCTCGACATTCCTCTATGTATTTGATAGAGTAGAAGATCAAACATGTGCATGTTTGACTAACTTCAAATGTTTCGAAGGGTCCTCACAAGAAAGTCTAGATGCTAGGAAGCTCTCTTTGCAAGGTACGCCACCAAAATGCTCATTTGTCATTGAGCCAGCAGAAAGAAGGTCAATACCACTAAATGATGAAAGATGGCATTAGGCACCAGGACAAACTTGGCACGATCAATGGTGTCATTGCCACTACGACAAGCATCGTTGACCATCAATCGAACATAAGTTGTTAGTCCAATTTTTTTTCAAGAGTATGCCAATGACGTACCTTAATTTTATAGAAGAGAGTTAGTCCAAAACATCACTGGCTCTTCGTCATCAATCACCACAACGCCATGCCAGATTGTGTATGGAGCCGACAATACCTTTATCTCATACAAAAATACCTTGGCCACACAAGCAACAAACCCAAAGATACATATGATTTAACATTGAAAACACATAATCTACACGCTAGACAATCATCTAGACCTTCCCTGCCACCCTGTGTCGGAATAGTCATGAAGACAGGGGGCATCATGCCAAAAACAAAAGAAGAAACAGTGTTTGATTTCTCTCCTTTTCTCCTATGGTGGCTAAAGTCCCACCCGTGATATGCCCTATACACTTAGAGCATCTTCAACAGCCGCGCTAAAGTAGCGCCGCGCAGCAAATTAGGCCGTTTTAGCGCGCGCGCAACGCGTCGGGTCGGTCCAGCGGGCGCGCAAAAACGACGCGCGCGGCACACTCGAGCGCTCGCGCCCGCACTTCCTCTCCCACTGCTGAAGTCGCCGCAAGGCTATTGGCGATGAACAAAGCGCGCGGCTTTCCTGGCATGCTTGGCTCAATAGATTGCATGTATTGGAGTTGGAAGAATTGTCCAAAGGTATGGCATGGGCAATTCCACGGCCAAAAGAAGGGTTCCACTATAATCCTTGAAGCGGTGGCCGATCAGGAGACTTGGATTTGGCATGCATTCTTTGGAATGCCTGGATCTTTGAATGACATCAATGTTGTCAACCGGTCACCACTGATGAATAAAATTGCAAACGGTGAGTTGCCACCTGTGCAGTTTGTAGCAAATGGCCGCACGTACAACTATGGCTATTATCTAGCGGATGGCATCTATCCAAAGTGGCAAACCTTCGTGAAGCCGTTGAAAAAACCGGAAGGTAAGAAAAATCTTGATTTTCACAATGCTCAGGCGGCGGCTAGAAAAGATGTGGAGAGAGCATTTGGAATTTTGCAAGCCCAATTTGCTATTGTGAGAGGACCGACTAGATTTTGGGATCAAAAAATGCTTTGGTACATCATGCACGCTTGTGTGATCATGCACAATATGATCATCGAGAATGAGTGTGGCCAAGATTTAGACTACTCACAGTATGAGCTCTTGGGACATCCCGTGCGAGTGCGACGGAGGGCTGAAAGGGTAGCCCGTTTTATTGCCTCCTATCATGACATTCGGCGTCCCGCAACGCACAATGAACTTCAGAATGATCTAATTGAAGAGTGCTGGGCATGGCATGGACGACAAAGAGCATGATGATATCTGCATTTGACATTGAATTGTTCATGAACTATTTGTTGTGTTTATTGCATTAGTTGTTGTACTGAACGATAAACTATTTGTTTGAGTTGTAATGATTTATTTTGAACTATTTGTTGTTGATTTATTTTGTTTGTTTGATCATTTTTGCTCATCTTCTTTGAAATGTACATGTGGTTTGTGCGGCGCGCGCGCTGTATTTTTGCGCTCTGTTGAAGCGGCGCGCGCGCGCTGCATTATAGCACGGCTGCTGGAACCAGCCGCAGCGCGCGCGGCAAACAGGTTTTTTGCGCGCGGCGTTTAGCGCGGCTGTTGGAGATGCTCTTAGATACGCATGAAACATGAGTTTTTTTTAATAATGCATCGTACGAGTGTGTTTTTTTCTCAGGGCAGGGAACAGAGCGAGAAGCGTTGTGTTTGTTTTAGACAAAGAAGCGTTGTGTTGCAGCCGCACGTGCCGATCGTATTTCCTAGGCCAGGGCCCAATAGCCCAGCTAGTGCGGAAAGCCGATCACGACGACGGCGTCAGGCCACACCTTGAAATACTCGGCCTTGGCGCCCGACGTAACCGTCGCAACCAACAGCTTTCGCTTCCCCTCGCCGGAGCTCCAAGAAACCAAGAACCCACCGTCATCCCCACCTCTATCCACCGAGCAGCTAGCACCCAACGCCTCTGCTCTCCGGCGCTCCAGCGTCGGCGAGCGATGGACCGGTTTCAGGACGGCGAGCACGTGCGGCTGCGGAGCCGCGTGCACGGCACGTACCTGCACGCCGACGAGGACGGCCATGGCGTCTCACTCCCCAGGCGCGGCGCGTCGATGAACGCGGTATGGTCCGTGCACATCTACCACCGCGACGGCCCGCAGCTGCTCCTCTACAGCGCCGCCTACGGCAGCTACCTCGCCGCCACGGACGCGCGGGCGCCGCCCGGCCACCGCGGCTTCCGCGCTGTGCAGTGCGACTACGACCGTCGGCACATGGAGGCCATCAAGTGGCATGCCGTTTGGGCCGAGTCTGAGAACTACGTCGTGCTCCGCGACGTCGCCGGCCGCTGCCTCCGCGCCAACAAGAGGTACCTCAGCCGGAACAACGGCGTCAGCGTCGACGGCATCGACGACATCAACAACGTCAGCACGATGATGCACTTGCACTGGTTCGTGGAGCTGATCCCCGCCAGGGATGGCTTGCCTCCCCTTCCACGACCGATTGGGGTGAGTCCGCCATGCCCGCTTCTTGATTCTTCCCGATTTTGAGGGAATTGGGTTCTTGGATGTTGTTACCATGCGTCGGAATTTGATCGTGTTAATTTCATTCACCTGGAAGCAATTCTTGATCGCATTCTCGAGTTCTTTGATCCGATGATGGTTCTTTGCGACTCAACTGCAGCATCCCTTCCCCGGAACCGGAATAGTCACCGCCGTGTTGCCGTCGCGGATGATCGTGTACGTGCGGGAGGGCGCCGACGGGAGCCGCATCACCCGTGGGTCGTTCAACTTCAGGGGGAGGTCCGTGTTCCGCCTGAGGAAGAAGCTGGTCCGCCGGCTGCGTGCCATCATGGACGTCTCCAAGCTCGTCGTGTGCGTCGAAGCGGGTGCTTTCGGGCGGCTTACCCCACTCGTCGTCGACCTGCCCCGCAGCCGCCACAACCTCCACATCGTCGTCATCGAGGCCGGGACGCCAGGTGAGAGGCCCCAACTTCTTACTTGTCTTCGGTGCTTGTACTGAAATTGTTACAGTCTGAAAAACAGTTTCCTGAAACTGCTGCTGCTCTGCTTCAGTTAGAACTGTTGTATTTGCATTGTGGTCTGAAGCTTCAGTTAGGACTGCTGCTAATCTGCTTCAGTTAGGACTAGTATGCCTGTGTAGTCTGAAGTTTAGTTGCATATTCACACTCTTGGAACTTGAAAACCAATTGTAATTCAGAAAGAAAAATAGTTTACTGAAACTGCTGCTAATCCACTTCAGTTAGAACTGTTGTATTTGCGTTGTGGCTGTTGGATTAATCTGCCTGTGTAGTATGAAGCTTAGTTGGTCGTTACATATTGACACTCTTGGAACTTGAAAACCCAAATCAGTTCAGTCATATCAGTTCAGCTTCGCACAGAAGATACTAGTTTCTATATGATTTAGCCAATTGTAACTCAGAAAGAAACTCAGGTTTGTATGTCCCACAAACACTACATGGGAATTAGTTTCTGCATGCACATTAGGTTCTGCTTGTACTGATCATTGTTACAGTCTGAAAAACAGTTTCCTGAAACTGCTGCTAATCTGCTCCAGTTAGAACTGTTGTAGTATTTACATTGTGGTCCGAAGCTTCAGTTAGGACTGCTGCTAATCTGCTTCAGTTAGGACTAAACTACCTGTGTAGTTTCAAGCTTAGCTTGTTGTTACATATTCACACTCTTGGGACTTGTAAAGCCAAATCAGTTGAGCTTCACATAGATAGAAGATACTGACACCTATATGCTTTAGCCAAATGAAATTCAGAAAGAAAATTCAGGCTGTATCCCACAAAACACTACATGGAAATTAATTAGTTTCTGATGCACATTACATTGTTTCAGGTTACTTGACATGTGTTAGCAATATCAGATTGTTGTGAGTTTGTGACATGATTATGCCTAACCTTTACCTCCTGACTGTTCCTTGAGCCTGTTTTAGCAATATATAAGATTTATTAGATCTTGTCACTTGAACCTGTCTTAGCAATATAAGTTTTATTGTGACATCCTCACTGTTTCTTCTGAATTCTGTATAGCCCACGCGGAGTTGCGGTGCCCGGATGTCGATGCAGTGTAGGGAAAGACCAGAGCAGAGCAGGACTCCTGACCGTCGCTTCACAGTTCACTTCTTCAGAGTATCGCCGCCTCGGTCACGACGGGATGTAAATCCAGAACTTTTTGCAGTTATTAGACAGGGGTTCAGGGCAAACCAGCAGTTCCTGTGTTCCTGCTAGGTAGCTAAACTTGGTTTGTTCTCCTGACAGTAGAAAACACAGTTGCGTTGGCATCACGGTACTAGTATTCAGAAACTGTTTGAGCAATGATGCGCTGACGTTATTCTGTAATGTTTTGCGATCCTTTTTGGCCATCACTTCAACGTCACCAGCTTTGTTTCTCATTTGAGCACTTCAGTTTAGCTGTGCCGCTTTAAGTTTCAGTACTATAGCAGAAAATGAGTTTCTGTTTTGAACGAGAACTCTCAACTTGCTGCATTTTCCTGTGCGTCGGCAGTATTTTAGATCGCAAGCAGTCCGAAGGCCGACAAGAGTTTGCAGTACAGTAGCGAATATTTTAAGAAGTGCTTATGTTTAAAAAAAATATCTGTGTATTTCGGTAAGTGTTCACACATTTAAAAAAAATATTCGTATAATTTAAGAAGTGCTCATTCATTTTTTAAATAATGTTCACGTAGTTGTAAAAAATATTGATGTTGTGCAATTTTAAAGTGTTCAAGCATTTATAAAAACACTTCTGCTTCGGTACACCCCCCCTAAACACAAGGACGGCTGAGATTAGCCCATACCTTTTCATAAGAAAGGGCACGATGGTCTTATTGAAGAAACTATTCCCCTGCCGTATTTGTATACGGTGTACACCTGCGAGCTGGGCCAGCCCATCTGTCCTTTTTATATTTTTTAAATCACAAAAAAGACTGTTAGCATGGCAGGATACCAAGCCACAACCGCCTTATTGATAACCACACAGCCAACGTCAACTGATCTGATTAAATCACTCTTTTCTCCTTTCTTCCTTTATTTATCCTTTTTTTCTTTTTTTCTTTTTTCTTTTTTTGGTTCCTTTTTTTCCCGTTTTTTCAAATGGTTTTGTTCGGTATTTATTTTATTTTTCGTTTTCTTTTCTTTTTTACGTTCCTTTTTATTTTCCTTTTTCTTTTGCAATGTGCAATTTTTTTTCAATTTCGCTTTGTGTAAAATTAAATAAAAAAATTAAAAATTGTGAACATTTTTTAAAATTAGTCAACTTTTTAAAAAATCATGATTTTTTTTCAATATCGATGAACTTTTTTCAAAATCGATGAGCCTTTTATAAAATGAATGAATTTTTTCAAAGTCAATGAGCTTTGATTTTTTAAACTGGTATTTTTTTCCAAATCCTTGAACTTTTTTTTCCAAAATCTGTGAAAAGAACACCTTACAACCGGTGAAGTGTCACGCGCGGTGCCGGGTATGACACGTTGGCCCTGGGCCATCGGGGCCGGTGGTGTGCGCCTTGGTTGCGCAGGCGCCGCAAATCTGGAGCGGCTCAAGGCTGGCGGTGCGAATCGGAAGGACAACATGCGGCACGGCATGATGTATCGGGAGAGGGTGGCGTACGTGATGTGCGTGGCGTGATTGTGACAGGGTTGGGAGGGCGGCGGGATCGGGAGAGGGCGACGTGCATGATCGGGAGAGGGCTCGTCGCATGCACGCGCAAATCCCGGGATAATCCCATGGATCGTGGAGGGCCTGAATTAGTGCGGCGGGCCCCGCGGACAATAGTAGGCGTGTCGGTTAGCGCCGGGTGAAGCAGGTGTGCCACGCTGCGGGCCTGGCCGTGGCTGACCGGCTATAGCCGACGCGATTGCACGTACTTATTTACTATCACCTCACATCGCCGCCACGACGTTGACCTCCTTAAATACTTTTTATGAAAAAAATCATAAGCGTCCGTGTTCATTGTACTCTATTTGGAGGATATGCAGGGTCAGTACGAATCTTCACCTGTTCTGAACTGGTGAAGCTTCCTACTGACAATGCATATTTTTCATAAAAAAGACACTGATGACTGATGTATTTTAAAAAAAATCAATTTAATTTGATTTTGACTTATTCGGGTCTACCGGCAGGGCAAGTCTCGAACAAGTTTTGTTTTTTCATCTTCACGAAATGAGCCCAAACTTTTTCACACATTGGCATCACCATGGCCAGCGTGCATGCCAAGTTTCATTGGTTTCCAACATTCTATACATTTTCTAGAGTTTTCCCGGTGAAAATACCCTAAAACACTGCAAGGACGTGACACCACGTGTGTTTGGTGTCCGAATTCCTTCAAATTTTGTGTGGGACCTTCCATGATCATTCCCCCATTTTGGCAAAAATTGGTGTCATTTCATGCATGCCAGCACATACACCATGTACAATCAGGACCGTTCGGATCTGCCGGCAGGGCAAGTCTCGAAGAAGTTTTTTTTTCACCTCCACAAAAATGAGACCAAACTTTTTTCACGCATTGGCATCACCATTTCCACCATGCATGCAAAGTTTCGTTGGTTTCCGACATTGGATGCATTTTCTCGTATTTCCCGACGAAAATACCCTAAAACACTGGCTGCACGTGACGCAACATGCATTTTGTGTTCGAATTTGTTCAAATATTGCGTGCTTCCATGATCATTTCCACATGATGGCAAAATTTGGTTTTATTACATGCATGCCAACACATACACCATGTACAACTAGGCCCGTTCGGGTTCTGCCGGCATGGCAAGTCTCGAACAAGTTTCTTTTTTCACCTTGATGACATGAGCCCAAACTTTTTTTCACACATTTGCATCATCATGGCCAGCATGCATGCCAAGTTTCGATTGTTTCCGACATTCTATATATTTTCTAGAGTTTTTCCGGTGAAAATACCCTAAAATACTGGTCGGACGTGACGCAACATGCTTCTGGTGTCCGAATTCGTTCAAATCTTGCCTGAGGGCCTTCCATGGTAATTCCCACATGATGGCAAAAATTGGTGCCATTTCATGCATACTAGCACGTACACCATGTACAATCAAGACCGTTCGGGTCTGCCGGCACTCTCCATTGAACATGATCAAGTCTTGGCCATTCTTGAAATGCAAGTTGTTTTTTTTCGAGAGTACGCCTAGACGTACCATATTTTTATAGAAGGCAGAAGATCAAGTACAAGAGACTACGACTTGCTGCGAACAACAAGTGTAGTAAACTCCACACCCACACTTACAACAACACTCGCATACACAACACAAAGGAGCCTATCCTAAACAGAACATCTAGCCGCGTCTCGACCAGCACCGAACACCACAAAGAACAACAACTACAAACGAGCATTCCTTGTCTACGCACCAACCATCCATGATTGCCAAAGAGGAAGACGGCGAATGGGTAGCGGGGCTCAGACAGACCCGAGAAAGCCATTGTCTTTGATACCCCGGCCGCCACGTACATAGCGCCTAAGAAGATCCGCCCGGACCAGCGGCCAGCACCGGATAACCACACCACCGAGCCTCGAAACCATGTCTCCTTACGCGATGCTCCCAACAGAGTAACGCCGCCGAGATGCCGCCATCGCCGGTCCATACTAACCAAGGCTTTCACCCGGAGACAATCCTAGCAAGGGAGAAGATGCCGACACACCATTGCAACGCCTCCAAGGAGGGGAACGACGCCCACGCGCGCCGCCGTCGCAAGCACCAGCCAAAGCTGTGCAGGATTTTCATCCAACCAGTCGCGCACCTCCCGCCCATCGCATCGGAATAAGGCCAAGCAGATCAGGATGGGTAACACCGCCGCCGTCGCAGCACCTCGTCATCGTGGCGCAAGAGTTGCAGAACACCCACTCCCCGCACCGAGGACACGCATCCAACATCGACCTCCATCCAAGGCCGAGAACCAGCAGCTCCTGCTCCAACCACCAGCACCAGCCAGCCACACCACACCAGACCGCCAGCCACTCCAGGCCACGGCAACCAGCCTCACCCGGCGGCAAC